TAAAAATAGAATGTTATTACAAGCAATAAAAGAATGATGTAAATTTTCATGTATTATTCTGGAAACTTCTCCAACATGTATTTTGCTAAATAAAAAAGCAAATTCCAGGGGGGGGAAAATATAAAGGTAACATCAGGAAACTAGTGGGATAGAAAACATAGAAACAAAAGAGAATATGACTAAAATTAAAATCTGGTTTTTAATCAATAAAATTAAAAATCCATAGAGACTACGTTAAGAAGAGAAATGACACAAATTATTGGTGTGAGGAATGGAAGGGTAAGACAATCCTGCAGACATTCGAGGGATAATAACAATAAAACATTACAATGTCATGTGTATAAATTTTACAACTTAGAAGAAATGGACAAAGTCCTTGAAAGACATAAAACTACCACATCTCACTTAAAAAAAATACCATCATCTGAAAGTTCTGAATTTATTAGAGCGATTAGATTAATTTTTTTAAAGTAAAATTCCAGGTTCAAATTGTTCCGCTGGAGAAACTTACCACATACCTAAGGAAGAAAGAATACTTATTTTAAAGAAACTATTTTGTAAAATAAAAGAAGAGATAATATTTCACTATGTATTTTATGAGAGAAGAATTGTACTCAGAAACCAACTAGAGAGACATCACATAGGAAAATGACAGACCAATATTCCCATAAACACAGGCATAGAAATCCATCATAATTCATAGAAAAAGGGAAATACACTATGATCAAGTAGACTTTTTCCTTAGGAATATAAAGTTGTTCTTCCACTTGAAAACCAATTAATATAATTCTGTATATTAAACCAGAAAGCAGAAATGATGGAGACATCACAATAGATATGAAGTATTTGACAAAATTCAACACTCATTCATGGTAAAACTAAAAGCCACAAGGAACTACAAATAGCAGGAAACTTCTTCAGCCTCCAAAAGGAGCTTATGTCCATAGCACACTACATTTAATGAAGACTGAAAGTTTTTCAAGATTTACAACAATGCAGGGCCAGCCAAACAGCTCAGTGGATTAAAGCACCTGCAAGTAGTTGCAGGGGCTGGGGGTTCAATCCCCGGGCCTGCCGTGTCAGCACTGCCCTTGGGGTGCACTGAGACAGCAATTGAGACTGGGCAAGACGGTGCACCTGTAATCCCAGCTCTTGGGAGACTGTAAACAGGCAGATCGAGTCGGATATAGTAGCGAGATCCTGAACACCCTGTAGACCCTTCTCTAAAAAAAAATTTAAAAAAGATTTAGGGGGCTGGGGAGATGGCTCAGTGGAATAAGCGCTACCTTGGCAAGTGCAAGGACCTGAGTTCAATCCCTGGTTCCGCAAAAAAATAAAATAAAAAAATAAAAAAAGATTTAGGACAAGGCAAAGATGTCCACTCTTGTCACTTATGTTCACCGCTGTACCATCAGTTCTGCCCCTTGCAACAAGGTCAGAAAAAAATAAAGGCACACAGAAAAGAAGTGAAGTTGTCATTTATTTGCAGCACAAGCTTAAGTTTATATCTAGCAGAGCATGCTTGCCCAGCATTCTAGGGCCCTGGGTTGGAGCCCCAGAACTATCAGATAAATTACTAATATAACACACAAAAAGAGCTAGCCTGTGAGTAAAGTGAGATAATAAGATTCAATGTTAAAAGTCAATTTCATTTTTATATTAGCAAAAAATAATTGGGTTGCAATGTACCAGAATGGGAGAAATAGAAGAAGGAAGGGAGAAAGAGACATGTATGTCTATGCATAGGGTACTTGATAATTGTACTGCTGATTTCTGCTGATCTATTGAAAAGCGCAGTTAATGCTTACATTTCTTCTCTCTCTTCAATTTTTTGGCCAATTTTTCATGCTTATATCTGTTAATCAAAACAACTAATTTGAAGACAACAATATGCAACATAACAATCTGTTGAATTCCTATCATTTTGTTTAATGAAATTCTGTGTCTTTTCTAATTGGGTTTTACTCTTTAAAAAAATACATGTAAAGCTGCAACTCATCCCTCGCCCTTTGTGGCTACTGAGCAAATGTAACTCTGTCTTCGTTCTCCATTACATTAAGAGCCTGTTATCCTTTGGATTTTGTAAGATGATAGAAACTGGGAATTTCAAGTCAATAAAATATTGACTTTTTTGTAATTGAAAAAAATAATTGGATTGTTTCAGAGAAATAGCCCAGGAATCGAACCAGGGATTGAACTCGGAACCTTGTGCTTTCTAGGCAGGCACTTAGACCCCAAGCTATCTCCCCAACCCTAAGGATTTCTGAGACACAAATGAAAATGATGATAATAATCTTCATTAAAATGGAAGACATTCACTTTTCAAGAGATATTCTTAAGAAAATGTATTGGCAATCCAAAAGCCTGAAGGAAATACTTGTGATGCAAGTAGCTAATTAAGGACTAGCGGTGTGTGGCCACTGGCTAGCTTGAGCTCTCTGCGTCTGTTTCCTTGCCTATAAAGTGATAATAGTTCTCTCATAAAATTGTATGAGGATGATGTGCCATAACAAACAAAATCAGACACAATTTTCTAGTATAATTTTAATATGGTATAGATCATTATCTTTTATGAAAGGAAAAGGACAGCACTCAAAATGAGCAAAGAAGGCCCACCGAAATTTGAAATAAAGGACAAAAAGTTGCCCTCTATTTCCAAAAGGTTTTACATAAACGGAGGCTGGGAAAAGCCCTCCTTTCAGCCCATTGGGAACCGAGGTCCCTGCAATATTCCAGCTCTGAACGTGGAGAACTTCTGGGTCCTGCTGGGAGTCAATACTAAAAAAGATTCAGCTAGTTGTTTGGGAAGCTGAGGCAGAAGGACGGCAAGCTCAAGGTCAGCCTAGAAAACTAACTTAATGAGAGGAAGGGGTGGGTAAGAATGGTAGTGGAGAGGAATGCGGCTCAGTGATAGCATGCTTGCCTGGCATGCACCGCTGGGCCCTGGTTCGATTCCCAGGCTGTGAGGTGGGTGGCAAGACTGAGCCAGGAAGCCTCTTTTCTGCACCCAAGGTGCAGTCCGGTGAAGTCGGCTGATGGTTGAATTTCATCAAGAGATCAAGTTGTATCCTTTTCATTCTACTCTGAAGTTGAACTACTTTCTCATAAATGTTTGTAATTGTAACTGCTAATTACCTAATTTTAATAGCTGATTTCTGTGTCACAATCAGAATCCTCCAAAGCCTGCCTCATCTCTCCTTTGCTGTCCCTTGCAGCCCTCACAGCCACCAGCTCTGCTTCCTCCCCCTGCGGCCATCTTGCCGTAGCTGTCCAGCTGCAAACAGACTCAGCCAGTGCAGCTAAATGAGACCTATGGGGTGGGGAGGAGGGGTGTCTCAACCACTTTCTTGTGGCTGAGACACAATTCCCAACATCCAGAAATTGAAAGAGGAGAGGGTTATTTTGGCTCACAGTTTCGGTCCAGAGCTGGCTGGCTCCAGGGCCGGGCAGTGTGGCCCATGAGAAACAGCTCACAGCTTAGTGGCAGGAAGCAGAGATGGGGAGGAGGGAAGGAAGGGGACCCTTCGGGCCACGCCCCCAGCGGGCACCTCCTCCAATCAGCTTCGCCTGCCAACCCCACCTTTAGCTATAAACCAATCTGCGATAGTTAACTGATTGTGCTGATTTGAGTCTAAAAGGCCCAGCTAGCTTGAATTGCACAGTTCTCAGTACGGCTGAAGGGATGTGCTGAGGACGGCAGACCCCACCTGGGCGTGAACGGTGCCTCGTCTACATGAAATAAAAGGAAAATGAAGAAGTAAGGCTCGCTTCTGTTTCTTCATAGGAGCTCCAGCCTTCACCTGCACCTTGGATGTCATCTCCTGGCTTCCAGCGCAGCCTCCTCAGCCTTCCGCTGGAGACCCTTCAGCCTTCCACCACAGACCCGGTGGCTTCCTGATACAGAGCTGCCCGGGGATGAGCTCAAGGCCTCCGACTGGACCGTTCAGAGCTCCAGCGCACAGGCAGATCTTTTGCAGTCTTCCACATCCGGCTCCGTGTGGCCATTGTAAGCGTATCTTGCAAATTCTTATACATTTGAGTCTCTTGCATTAATTGTTTGTCTAGTAAGTACTGACGGATAAACCTTCATCAGACTAATCCACCGATGACCATCACACCCCCAGGAAGCAGTCACCCCCAGCCGTGCATCCTAGGAGCCCCGAGGCTTGAGAGACACCTAGGGGTAAAACGTAACAGCAGGCTGGGGCTGGATCTTTCTAAGCATCTGCAAAGAGGAAAACATGATTTAGAGGAATTTCAGGTGATGAACCAAAAAGAAAGTTTCCTAAACCACTTTAAAATTATTATTAAAATCTTTTCAGTGCTTTTAAATTTAAACCACCTTTGTGAAACAGAAGCAAATTATTTAAAAGTAGAAGAACCTTCCAAAAGGAAAAAAGAGGGTTTCTTGAAATAAAAAAAAAAAAATGATATTATTTAGCCTGATTTATTCATTCCTATAAGACCAAGAGAGTGGTTGTCTATGGGAAAGGGGAAAAGAGAGATAGGGAAACTGCTGTTTTTCTGAGCAAACCTTCAAGAACTAGTTGACATTTAATGATCAAATGTGTTAGTTTGACTTTTAAAAAAAAAAGCGTAGTGGTCCAAGCCTTTCAGTCTTACATTAGAAATGAATTTCTTAATGCCCTCTTCTCTGCAGGGACACAAACCCCAGCCTTGACCCTGGGGTTCCTTTATGGCTTCCACATCTTCATTTCATCCCAGGGTTGTTTATAGTAAAAGATGGCACCTTGGAAGAGGAGGATCAGAACAAGGATGAAACATACCAGAAGCTTTTCCTATCTGAAAATGTTCAAATGGACTAAAATAGAAATTACAAAGGTAGAAATGGACCCAAAAGCATCAATCCTCATAATAAATTAGAATGGCTCACTAATGATGTGAAGTAAACACATATGTTGTCAGCCTGAGTTTAGAGTAAACCAAAACAAATAACTGTAATTACACCACACACACACACACATGCACGCACACACACCCCATGCTAGAGTTCCTTCTGTCCCTGAGGCTGTGACTCCCCCCATCCCATCACTCCAGAATCTCCCTGATGCACCTGTCACCCTTCCAGCTCAGCCAAGAGGCTGCCTTCTCTGAGAAGCTTTCCTGCTGAGTTAGTTGTCCTCCTCTGTGGCCCTGTGTTCTCACCACATCTACACAGATTGCTCTGACCACAGTCACTTCTCATAAGTGCTGACTCAGAGCTCCTGCAGGGGAATCACCGTGTGCCTCACATACACCTTGTGCCAATGGAGTGCCCCACATGGCTCCCCATTGGCTCAGCAGGTGGGAGCATCAGACCTAGGAGTCCAACCCACAGGAGGCCTGTGTGTGGGCTTTGCCCAACAGAGATGAGGGGACTGTGTTTGCCTATAGCATCCTAGTACCAGGCTGGATGCACGGTACTGGGGGAAGAAGCTACAAGACACGAGAGAGGAGCCAGTCTGCTGATCTCCCACAACAATCAATGGAAGCCACACGTAAAAGCCACTCTTTGCAGGATGAGCAGTATGGTGGCAACCAAAGTGGGCTTGAGGGGGGTCTGTGATGCAATAATGGGAGGAGCAGGGAGGAGCCAGGCGAGCGCAGCAGGTGCTTCTGAGTGCTGAGGAGCTGTGAAAGCCCCTGAAGCTGCACTTGGCCTTCTTGTTGGCTCTCACAGCCAACTTCCCAGAGGCGTGTAGGGAGCTCCTCCTGTTTCCTGTGACTCCTGTCTTTATGCAACATACCTGAGTGCCAGCAGAAGAGCCAGCAGACACAGCCTCCCGTCGTTCACGCGCCTGCATTTCAGCTTCTGCAAGCACAACCTCCCGCTACAGTGGGAGCTCAAGGGCACCGTGTTCCTATTATTAGGGACACCCTGCTTGATCACAGTGGGAGTCAATCCCTGCTCCCTCGGGTGAAGCACACATGGTTAGTTTAAAGCCATGGGTGTGTCCACGTCCATGTGGTGGGTCTCACACAGAAACACCCCAAAGAACAGGGGTGAACTTCTGCTAACTCCCCAGGCCCATGGGCAAGCAGGCCAGTGAACAGCACCACCAGGCACTGACAAGCCTCCAAAATACCTGCTCAGGATGTGAAGGCCCAGGAAGGTGCTGTCTGCGCTGAGATCTTAGTCTCTCTGCCGCCCGTCTACCTCTGCACATAATTAAACGTTAAGAAGTGTTGTGTGGGTTTTTCTAGAAATCAAAAGTACAGGCAGTTCTTCTGAGAGCTCGCTGATTACTCTTAGCACATTGTGTTTTAATTTTGATCTCTGGAAAATATCAAGAACAAGCAAAGAACTTCCCACCCCCACCCCAGCAAGCCCTGGCTCCATAGGAAAAACAGTACTGAAATAATACAAACATCTTGGATCAACCCTCTTTTGAAAGTAAGAAACGCGCCTCACCCTCCCAATAGGCCTGAAGTCTGCGCAGCTCGTCCGCCAAAGAGTGGGACTTGGCAGCACTCCTTGTAAACTTCAACCGCAGGAGGCCTCTGATTGAATTGAAATCATTTCCTCGGGTCAGATTTTGCTGGTGGTGCACTCCCCCCACCAGATGTGCATTCATCGTGTTGCTGCAGAGTGAGGCTGGGGTGGCGGTCAGGGCATGTAGGGGTGAATGCACATCTATTCACCTCCTAAATCTCTAATATGGGTGTGGACACTGCCCTGAAGAACCTTGGAAGATTCTATCTACTCTCATTTATCCTCAATTTTTTTTTGAGTGATTAGAATTTAATCAGAAAAACAGGGTAAGGAAATTGGAAATGACGAAATGCAAAAGGCAAAGCTGATGGTCGGTTTTCCACAGGTCATTTACCCAGGCTCCATTGTGGGCATACACATGGCCTACAGCATTCCAGGAGCCATCAGTAGTCCTGGGACACAGGGATTGCTCCTCCATGAAGACCAGAGAGTACAGCAAGAAAGCAGGGTTGGGTGTGACAAAATTTCACCTTAGCTGGGTGAGGTGGTGCACACTGGAAATAGCAGTCTCTGAGAGGCTGATGCAGTAGGGTATCAAGTTCAAGCCCAGGCCAGGCAACTTAGCAACTTTCTCAGAGCCTGTCTCTAAAACTAAATAAAAAGGCTTGGGATGAGTTCATTGCAAGCCCTTGGTTCAATCCCCAATGCTGAAAGGAACCCTTCTTGTCTCTTGGTGGACCACTATCCCCAGTGGTTCCTCCTGACCTGAACAGAGTCCTCTTATCCAATGAAGAGATGCTATTGTGTGTGGGTGAGCTTTCTTTCTGGTCACCCGATCCGGAACTTCTGCCCTGGAGAATGTTCCTGCCCGGGCCCTCATGGTGCTCCCAGTTAGGCCTCCCACAAGTGTTCCGCAGGCCAGCATGGGGGATCTTCATGCTCATCAGCTTTAGCATTGTTAGATTATCTAAAGCACTGTTTTGTTCTTAAGAAGAACAAGAATGCATTACAAAATATAAGGCACCCTTTACACACATTTTTAAAGATAAAACACAAGACTATAAAGAAATGTTCTACCTGCATTTAGTGCTTTAAACCATGCCCAAGACAGCCTGGCACACACAAGATCTCTCTTCTGTGCAGCCAAAGCACTGGTGGAAGATTTTTAACGTTCTGCCATATCCCACAGAGGACCATAGAGCATCTTTTCCTACTAGTTATACAATTTTATAGGTGAGAAAGCATCAGAGAATTGCTTACTGCTGTCATTTTACAATGAAACTGGCCCATGAGGTAGAGGCCTGGCTGTGTCTCCCCTGTGGCCATCCCGCTGTCCCTGGTCCAAGAACATGTACCTGACCACAGCCAGGGGACTGAAGTTGCTAAGAGAAACCAGTCACGGGCACAGAGGGACCACGAACCTGCTTATACTGCCACAGAGACATGCACAGAAAGTGAGCTTAGCTTTTCCTTTGTGTCCTAGTGGATTTGGCCTTGTTGTCTAGGTAATAGACAAGAGTGAGAAATCCCCATCTGAACTCTGATCCGGTGCAGCTCACTTACACAGCTTGTGTAGGCGATGTCCAGGGCTCCCACTCATGCTTTGCCTCCTGGCCAGAAGGGTGACTGGGTGTGCTCAAAGCACAGTGACCTCGGGTGGGGTGGCTGAGTGCCTGGACCTTCAGTCTGGCCTGCTGTTTGCTGGACCAGCTGCAGAGCGGCTGCTGAGGAGCCCGCCGGGGAATCATTGGCTTCAGTGCTTCCTGGGCATTGAGTCGGTGCCTGTTGCTCACATCCACAGCTGATAAACTTGGAGCCAAGTCTTCCCAGCCCAGCCAGGGCCCGGGGCCCTCCCTATGGTCTAGGCTTCCTCCCAGCTTGACTGTTCCAAGTTGCAGCCCCATCCCGTCTGGTCTCCCCGGCCCTTGCTGTGGGCCTCTCACCTTCCTCAGCAGCCCTTTGAAAACCCACTAGGTCCCAACATGCATGGCACATGTAAGTCCAGGGCAGCTCTGGGGGTCCCCAAGCCCTCTCTGCATCTAATTGTGTTGTCCCCTGCCTGAACTATGCTGAACAGTAACACTGGGCTCTAGCAGCATCACCTGCTCCCAAGACTCAGATGAGAAGCAGGGAGGAGGCCCCAGAGCTAGGTGATCCTCAGCATTATCTAACTTATCCCCCCCTCTTGGAGCTAAAATCTGCAGTGGGGAGAGAGGGGCCTACTTTAGCTCTTCTGCTTCCTGTTACTCTCTTTTCCCTGAACTCTCCAAATCCACTGACACAAAAGCAAAAATCCCCCTCTGAACTTAGTATTCTGAGCTTTTGAGCAAGAGTGTAATCTGTGAAGAAAACTTTATATTCTATTGGGAAAAGCTGACTATTTGAGGGGCTAAAAGAAATTTAGGACAATCTTTTATTTTTATTAATTTGAGGGGTGGTGAATCAGGTTTCAGGTGTAGTTGAAATCACTCTGGCTCTGGGGCTGGCCTCCAGCTTGCAGTGATCCTCCTGCCTCAGCCTTCCGAGTGCTGGGATCACAGGCATATGCCGGACTCCTCTGGTTTTAAAGCTGTTAATGTGACTCACACTATTGCGTCCTCCCGGCTTACTTTCTTAGGGATGGGAAGAAAACAGGCAATGGAAGACAAAAAGAACTACAGTATATTAACTTAATATTTGAAAAAATATTAGCCCTATATTTATAAAATATTAACATAGACATGTTTGCAAAATTTGTAAACATTAAAACAATGTGTTTACAAAATTGTGTGGTCAGACTGTAAAGGGTGTATGTAAATATCTAATATCCATAATTTCTAAATGCCTCCATAATTTTCAACATTATTCAGTATGTTAATGATCAGTTTTGTCCTGTACCTTGCCCCTCTCTACACAGGACCATATCACCTCTTAAAAGACTGGAGCTTTTCTGTTGTCAGTGAAGTTTTAGTTTTTATTTGGAAAAAAATGTTAATTTCTTGATGAAGGAATAAAGAAAATGCCATCTACATACATAACAGAACATAGTAACCTTAAGTCATAAAAAAGATGAAATCCTGTCAACAACATGCTAGGAACTGGTGATCATAATTCTGAGTGAAACAAGCCAGGTGCAGACATGGAAGCACATTGTGACCAGCAGGAAACAGGTTGATCAAGGCTACTAAGGTTTAGCCAGATAGGAATAAGTTCTTGTGTGCTTGGGCAGTAGGGATGTAGTGATAAAGCACTATATCTTTTTAAAAGCTAGCTGGGGAGTTAGTTCAGTGGCACAGTGTCTGCCTGGCAAGCGTAAGATCCCAAGTTCAATTCCCAGTACAGAAAAAAAAAAGCTATAAAGATTTTTAAAATATTTTATTTATTTATTTGATAACAGTTGAGGATTCAGCTTTACATACTTTTTTTAAAAAATCCCTCTATCATGATGGACTTTGTGAGCCTAGACCTGTATGTCTCATGGCAGAATTAAGACAAGGACTGTTAGCAAACCCATTGGGATCCAGAGTGCTAATTTGTGAGGACGTGGCCTGTATATGATGGAAACAGTAATGATTCCTGAGGTGAGTGCTGCCTTTTTATGTCTTTTTGTCTCTTCTCCCCACTCTTTCTTTTTTCATTGACCATGCATTTACAGATGGCTTTCTCTATGCTAGATGTCAAAGACAAAAAGAGAGCAGAAACTCCTGCTCCAAAGGACACTGCAGGCCAGAGGCAAGGAGAAACATACCCTTGCCACGTAACTAGTGCTCTGATGAATTCCTCAAGACACTGTCAGCACAGAGAACAGCCCTGAGCCTATGGTTCAAACCAGGGAGACTAATATTTTCAGTCAATAAAATAATGGAACAAACCTGGTAAATATTCTAAAGGCAGAAAGTACTGAGTCACATCTCTGAGCCACTATCTCATAATTAATAGGCGATTGCTCCATGCTGGACGTAAGGTAGACTGCTCTGGCATCGGAAAAGCCAGACACCCTGCGGAAGTCATGTTAGACGTCAATCACCATGCCGTGGAGAGTCTACAGAGGTTACCCAGGACACTGCTCAACAGAGCTTTGGTCACATGCACTTCAATCTGGGATTTAGAATCACTTAGCTTTGTCACAGGCATGCTTTCAAAGAAGTCACCTGGTAAAGAAGGACCCTGCAGCCCCTTGCACAGAACTGTAGGCCGCCTGACTCCTGACCCCACTGCCAGCCTTCCTCCAGGGCAAAGAGCAGGGAGGCGCTGACCAGGAAGAGAAAGGGGAGCTTGTCTGGTCCCTGTGCTTTGATGACAAGAGGTGTGTGTGGGGAGGGGTGGTTCAGACTTGCCTTTCTCCCATCCCGATTGTGTCACCCACAGAATATATGCCTATTTTACTGCAACGGCTTCCCTTTTTTTTTTTTTTTTTAACATTTCAAGTCCATGCTTATCTTTCTACCTTTATTTAACCTTGCCTGAAAAATTGTAATGAATCAAAGACTATCTCATTTTCACAACTAAACTCAGGGCCAGGGAGATGGCTCAGTAGGATAAGCGATTTACCTGGCAAGCACAAGGGCCTGAGTTCAATCCCTGGTTCCACAAAAAAAGAAAGAAAGAATATCTCTATACAAGGTGGCTCAGTAGAATAAGCACTTCCCTGGCAAGTACAAGGGCCTGAGTTCAATTTCCCAGTTCTGCAAAAAAAGTAAAAAAAAAAACAAAAAAACCTCTATACAAGGTTGA